AACTTTCTCTTGCAGAGATTAAGTGAAATTATTATGAATGAAAAACTCTATACACCAATAAAAAAGAGAAATAAATTATATAAAAAAGAGAGAAAAATTATGAAGAGAAAGATGGTAGTTGTTGTTCAGTATTAGTTTTCTTTTCAATTCTTTCTGACTTTTTCTCATAGAGATTCGATGAAATTATTATAGAAAGAAACTCTATATACCAATAAAAGGAAAAAAGAGAAATTATAGAGAAAAAAATGATAGTTGTTGTCCAATATTAGTTTTCTTTTCAATTCTTTTTGACTTACTGACTTTTTCTTGTAGAGATTCGGTGAAATTATTATGGAGGAAAACTCTCCATACCAATAAAAAAAAGGAGAAATTATAGAAAAAAAGATGGTAGTTGTGATTTATATTAATTTTCTTCAAAAAAAAAAAATTATGACAGCCTTTCTCATTTTTTTGAAAAAGACCCTACTTATTTTTTTCATTCTTTAATTTTCTCAACTGTTTCTTACTACATTCTTCTTATTTCTAACATCTTAAATTAGCTAAAGACACCCCAAGAAAATGATAGAAGAGAAAGATTCTTCAAGTTTGGAAACAGCAGGAATTCTACCAATCATCTTCAAGATTTGATGGGAGAATAATGAGTAGTGGCTTGATATTATGGACTTTATTAATGCATGTGGTCACAAACCTGATAAATTAAGATAACAATAATATAGAAGTTAAACCCATTTAACTACAGTTTTTTTTTTTTCACAGAAATGTGATGAATACATGGTCCCATTAAAGATAAAGAACTAGGAATAAGTTTGTTACGTGTATTGAATATGTTTATATATGTTTATATAGACATAAAAAAATTAAAAAAAAAAAACCTTTTAACCAATAAAAATAAATTAAAAAATTTATTTGAATCAAGAAAAATGAGAGAAAGTAAGGTAGAAAATAAAGAAGAGTAAAGAAGTTAAAAATATATAATTATTTAGTTTAAAAAATAGAGACGAGGCGAGCTAAGAATCT